TGTGCCATCAAATCAGAACGGACCCATGACTGACGCTTCAGCGAGTTTTCAGACACAATAAATAACATGGAAGGAGATTGCCCATCCTTTTCATGAGGAGCAGCTGGCGGACTTGAACCAGATGCCTTTGAGAATTGCAACACAGTTTCTTGCTACTAGGCCACCATTGCTCCGTGCAACTAGACTGTTGTTTTATGCCATCAAGTAGGAACCAACCTATACCTGACCCTCTGATGGGTTTTCAGAAGCTTTTAATTGCCTGGGATGAACTTGCCCAGTCTCTTTGCACGGAGTAGCTGGTGAACTTGAACCAGATGCTCTTTGGGATTGTAGCACAGTTTCTTGACTTGGCCACTGTTGTTGTTGTTGTGTGCCGTAGAGTAAGAGCTGACTCATAGCTGACCCTCCGGAGGGTTTTCAGAGACAGTTATTCACACAGGAGAACATTGTCCACTTTTCTCCTGTGGAGCAGCTGATGGATTTGAACCATGTGCCTCCGAGGTTGCAGTGCAGCTTCTTACCACTTGACCACCAGAGCTCCGACTAGGCCACTGTTGTATATGCCAGGGTTGGAACTGATCCATAGCTGACCCTTGGGTGGGTTTTCAGAGGCAGTTAATCAGTCAAGAGGGGATTGCCCATCCTTGCCCAAGGGAGCAGCTTGTGGATTCAAACTGTGTACTTTTGGGATTGCAGCACAGCTTCTTGCCACTAGGCCACCAGAGCTCCCTACTAGGCCATTAGAGACCTAAAACAATTCATTTATTTAATTATTCAGTGAATAAATGTTCAGGAATGATAGACTTGGTGTCAATCAGAGGGAAATAATGAGTACAAATTTTACACTTTCTAATTTTGTTTTGTGATTGAGTTGGTACTGACTCATAGCGGACCTCCAGTGGGTTTTCAGAGACTCTAAATTGCATGGGAAGAGATTTCTTCTCTCTCTCCCACCAAGCAACTGCTAGATTTGAACATTTTGCCTTTGGGTTGGCAGTGCAACTTCTTATCCACTAGGCTTCCAGAACTCCTTTCTTTTTAATAAATATATATAATACAAGCTCCAGGCTGGCTAATGAAAGCAGTATGGCCAGTATGTGTGTGGAGTTTGGCCTCAGCCAATTCCACAGTGGAGCAAGAGTTCCCATTAACATCAGTGGCATAAAGCTAATTGTTACAAGGTCAGACATGCCACCATGGTCCCACACCTTTTTTTTTATCATTTCCAGGGCCAGCCATCCTTCCCAGGGCTTTTACTGCTCTGCTGATGAACCTACTAATCCATTGCAATGACAGCACAGAGCTCACAGACCATACAGTTTTGGGATTTATTAAGGAAGTACAGTTAAGATTTGGAAATAGCATATGGTTCCTCATCAAGACAGCTTATTAGGCTGTCTGGCTTTAGACCAGTGTTAAAAGCTCTTTTGTACTGCCAATTATGATGCCTACCCACCATCCCTACTCCTCTGTCAGTAAGCCAAGGTGCAGGTCTTCTGTTCTGGCTCCATGGTCGCTAGTATAGTTAAGCTCATTCTCACAACAGCTTCTGGTTCTCAGCCGCCCCCATTGCTAATGTGTTGGTTTTTGTGTTGTTGTTTTTTTAGGACTATCTCACACAGGACTATCTGGCCCAAAAAACCTATGCTGCCCTTCATATTTCTTTCTTAATGGCAGTGAGATTTTTGTTTTCTACCTCTGAACCTGTTTGGTGCAAGCCTAGAAGAATGGCAAGACAACCCTTAAATCTTATTTTCGTATTACTACGTAGAAGGTTCCAACGACAATGACTAAGGGTGACAGAAGAAGAGCCGATGCTTTGAGTTGTGGTGCTAGAGTATAGTTTTGAACATACCGTGGACCACCAAGAGAGCAAATAGGTCTGTCTTGGAGAGAGTGAAACCAATTTTCTTCTTGGAGGCTAGGATTTTGAAGCTCCATCTCACATACTTTGGGCACGTGGCCAGGAGGGACTAGTCTTGGAGAACGGCATCATGCTTGGAAGGGTGAAGGGACGGTGCAGGAGAGGAAAATCTCAGATGAGATGGGTTGATACAGTAACTGGGAACATTGGGGGTTGTTGTCACAATCAGTGAGATTGGTTCAGGACAGGGCAGGCTTCAGAGCTGCTGTACATAAGTTCACTATGGGTCTCTGGTGGCTTTATGGCACATAACAACAGCAACCTAGAAGGTGCTGATTACCTTGTTTACATGATTAGCAAATGACACAATCTCCCTGATGGAGCCATAAACACCACACACTTGGATAGTCCTGTCCAGGTATTCATCTCACATACTTTGAGCATGTTGCTGCTGTTATTTTTAGGTGCCGTCAAGTTGAGTATGACATAACAACTCTATGAACAACAGATCTGAAATCTGTCCTCTCCGATGCCATCCTCATCATCTCTGACATAATCGAGCTATTGTTGTAGTCACCGTGTCAGTCCATCTGGTTGAGAATCTTCCTGTCTTTAGCTGACCCTTCACCTATCCAAGCATAACATAACATCTCCAAAACTAACCTCAAAGTATATAAGATGATGTTTTGTCATCTTTGCCTCCAAGGAGCACCCTGACTGCATTCTTTCTAAGACTTACCTGTTTGTTCTTTTGGCAGCCCATTGGATATGCAGTGCTCTTCTCCAACACCACAACTTGAAGACGTCAGTTCTGCCCTTTTTATTCATTGTCTAGCTCTCACATGCATCACAAGCGATTGAAAAGATCATGGCCTGAATCATGTACACCTTAGTCTTCACATTGACATTATTACTCCTTAGTGATTTGGAGAGTTCCCTAGTTTCAGACTTCCCCAGTGTAGTGGGTCTCCTATCTCCTGTCTGCTGTTACCAAGTGTATTTATTGTGGTTCCACACAAGATAAATTCACTGATGGTGTAAATCTTTTCTCCATCCATCATGATTTTGCCTATCAGCCCAGCTGTGAGAGTTTTTGTGTTCTTGATTTTGAAATGCAATTCATATTGAATGCTACAGTCTTTAGTCTTGTAAAACATGTGTCAAGTCCTCTTCACTTTCAGCAAGCAAGGTTGTGCCAGTTCCCAAACACAAGTTGTTGAAGAGCTCTCCTCCAATCCTGATGCCACATTCTTACTGAGAGTTCTCAAATGCTTTGCTCAGCCTATAGATTAAACAGGATGGAAAAAGGATACAAACCTGACACATATCTTTCCTATGTTTTGAACCATTTAGTAGTATTCCCTTGCTCTGTTGACATCAGCCTCTTGATCTAGGTCTAAGCTTCACATGAGGACAGTTAACCATTCTGGGATTCCCATTCTTAGTGTTAGCCATAATTTGTTACAATCCACACATTCAAATGCTTTGGGAATGTGGTGAGAAGAGGCTATTCCTTAGAATGTGAGGGTCAGCTAAAGAGAGGAAAAAGCCTCAGTGAGACAGATTCACATGGTGACTGCAGCAGTGGGCTCAAGTGGTCAGAAAAGATGAGGATGGCTTAGGATAGAATAGGATTCAGATCTGTTCTTCATAGGGTCGCTGTGAGTCATACTCGACTCAATAGCACCTAACAATCATAACAATAACAATCCAGCGACTTGGTGGAAATAGTATAATGGCTAGGAAAGCCACACTAAATAACCCACATGGCACAGCTACCTATTTTGCAAGGATTAGCACAAAATAAAAATTCAGGAATATTTATTGAAAATTAATTAATAAACTTTTATGCAGGCGTCTTTCTTTGCAAGAACCAATAAACCTTTTGTTTAATATCCCAGTGCTTTAACCATTGTGTTGTATCTGGCAAATAATAAGCACTTTTCTATTTGAAAATCCATTTTTCCCCCCACCTCAATCAATACAGTATGACACATGTAGATTATTCTTTTTTGATGGTTGGGAATTAATGTTAATTTAGTGTTAAACAGAATTAATGATAATTATCTGTGTAGAATTAAGTTTGAAAATTGGTAGATGAGGCACATTTTTCCCCCTGAAAGAATACTGAAGAGGTATTTGTCTATCTAACCTTTTATTTGAACTTTCTTTCCTGTTGCCATTTGTCTTTTAGTAAAATCAAAGACTTAAATCACCTGGTTAATAGAGCAATTCAGTTAATTGTGTTATAGTTAATAAGTTACATATTTTCAAATCCATTTTAATCCAATCTAAGCATTGCAGGCATGCTTAAGTACATTTAAAGACAAATTTGTTTTGCAAGTAATCCATTGTGATTAATGTAAGTTGTTTGCTTTTATGCTTTATGTAACTGAATAATAAAAATTCTATATTAGCGTGAATTATGTCTGTTTACAGTGATTAAAAGTCTTTTTTTCAATTTTTTTAAATTGCTTTATGGCAGAGATAGACTTGGATATGATCTACAAATTAAATCCCTACCATCCTGCAATACCATTTGACATATTCAGTTTAAAATTTAAATTTAGGACCATGTCTAACAGTAACTGCACTCTCTTTTTTACTATTGGTGAGAAATTTACTGTAAACAAGTTTACTTCAAGGGTACCCTGCTGGCCTGTTGGTTAAGAAGCTGTGCTGCAGTCCTGAAGGCACACAGTTGAATGCGCCAACTGCTCCATGGGAGAAGGATAGACAATCTCCCTTGTAAGATCTACTGCCTCCGAAAACTCTCTGAAGAGTCAGCTGTAGGTGGTGGCTTCTGAGTTGTCAGTACACACAACAAATTCATTTAAAATGATTAAGAAGATATTAATTTTCAGTAACATAAACTTAAAACAGAAATCAGACTTATCTGGTCTGATTTCCATGTAAAAATATAGTAGAGCTGCTAGATGTTTTACATTTAGAACTTTGAGGAACTATTAAAAAACTGAGAAGTACTGATAATTTTGTTGCCCATGAAAGCTGAAAAGAATGAGGAAAGGAATAATATTTATACATGGCTTTCAAACTATATCATGTACTTAATCACTTCTCTTTCATATGACTCATTTTTTTAATGTCTGTATTTAATCTTTTTTTCTTATATTAGACAGTATTACGGAAGTCTTCACAAATATCTATGTGACCAGTTTTGGCCCTGTTTCAGATACAGATATGGTAAGTTTGGGGGAATTTTTTACCATTTTAAAAATTACATAATGGAAACTATGAGGGGTAATTTAAAATGAAAAATTATTATTAGTCTCATAAATTTACATATCCTATGTATTCTGTGCTGATACTTGAAATGTTAAAGATGTTTGTATATAATCCTGATCTAAATTCTCATGCACTGTTTTACCATGTTTAGATAAAATTTTTGCATAAGTTAATACTCTCTTTTCTGGCTCATATTTTTTGCTATAATGTCTAAAATATATTTAAATCTGTGTATGTGAGTACGCATATGTATTTATAAATTTATGTCTTTATTACTGAGAACTGTTGGAGTACCTGCTTGGCACTAAGTAAAGTGTGGACAGTTTAATGGACAAATGCTTCATACAGAACGTGGTCACGGACAATGATGTCAATTAAAAATCCTCGGGTGGTCACTGAATAAAGTAATTATCATAAAAATGTGATTTTCATATTATAAACACAACTTAAATCCTTTGTTAAACCAAAACAAAAAAATTCTATGCCATCTGTCATGTGGCTAGAAAGGTTGAAAGTAGCAGTCCAGTTATAGTTGCATTGGAAAAAGGCTTAGAAACTCCATTATGCATGTGCACATCATGCGTCTCTGCGTGCGTAGGCGCGCGCACACACACACACACACACAAACTTGTTATTAGCTGCCCTCTTAAAGCTCATATTTTTGCTGTTATGTGCCATTATGTTGGAACTGAGTCATAGCTGAACCTCCAGCTTGAATTTCTGGATAATTCCTATCAGTGCACTATTCCAGACATTTTTTTTAATAATCTTCAGCAAAATTTTATCTGCATGTCCTATCAGTGATTAGATTTGATAATTTCAGCATTCTCAGCATTCTGTTGCATCACCCTTTAAAAAAATTTATACTGATTTACATCCAAAGTTCATAAAGTTCGTATACATTGTTCTTCACACCAGAATGTGGTTCTTCAGATATCATTGCTAAGGAGATTATAGTTCCTGGACGTAATTAGACTTACAGTTCACACCCATTCACTCCTGGCTCCAATTCCTAGGTCTTTGGTCTGCTACTGTTGCTTTTGCTAGATCAGTTGTATCACTGATAATAGCTCACAAACTTGTAATCTGTGTACTGCTCAATGAATTATTACAAGTATTAGGTGGATTAGAAACTATGAAGACAATATTAGGCCAATTGACTGAGCTGTTCTTGGAAACCATGACCCTAATCTTCCCAACCAAAAGACCAAATCTGTGAAGGTTTTTGGTAATATCTAAGAATACCATCTGATCTTAAGAGCTATCATTAGCTATGCTCATAGAGAGTCAGATCATCAGGCCTTTCTTCTGTGGCACTGCTAGATGGGTTTGAACTGGCAACCTTTAAACTATTGTTGTTGTTACTCAAATGCAAACTTTTTGTGTAACCCAGGAAACTTACAAACTCATATACATACATTTTTATATGTGTTGTTGTTATGTGCCAGTGAGTCGTTTGCTACACATAGCAACCCTATGTACATCATCTCTGAACTCTGCTCTATCGTGAGCCAATCTTACTGTTTCTGACACACCTCCCCACATTACCCCAGTCACTGAGTCAATCCATCTCATTGAGAGTCTTCCTCTCTTGCCCTATCCCTCCACCCTCCCAAGCATGATGTCTCTCTCCAAGGACTGGTCCTTCCTTGCAACATGCCCAAAGTATGTTACTTGAAGCTTTGGAATCCTTGCCTCAATGAAGCAGCCTAGTTTCACCCTCTCCAGATGAATCTGCTTGTTCTCTTAGCAGTCTGTGGTATATTCATTCAATACTCTTTTCCAACACCACAGCTCAAAGTTACCAATTCTCTTTCTGTCATCCCTAGTCATTGTCCAGCTTGCTGATGCATAACAAATAATTGTGAAGAACATGGCCTAGATACATCTATATGTATAAATATGACTTGCAGCCATATTTAAATCTAATGCATAATAGATTATTGATTTTTTTAAAATTTTTATGGAACTGGTATTTAATTAAGGGAGATTTGTCGATAAGTTACATGAAAAAATTCTTGATTACACATAAACTATTTACTAATCCATCTACCATTTCTAGTAGTAATTGTCGTTTTCTGTAATAGAATATTTAATGGAAATATTTTTTATTAATGATTTTTCTGATTTTCAGAAATTATAACCTGTGTACTTCAGTAGACTGGTTGTTATAAACCAGATGTGGCTAATTTTTGTACCGATTTGGTATTGCACTGTTTAATGATAAGACTGAAATGAATGACTAGTTAGCTCTCATTTTGAAGTAGCATTCCTCTCCCCTCCCCCATTACTGACACTGGAAGTGTGCTGTTATGGTTATATTTTTAGCAGTATTTATTGATGTTTTACAAAATATATGTTGGCATTTAAAATGACAAAGAAGTTAAAGTTAATGCCAGAGTTAAAAATGATTTGTGAATTGAAAGATTTTGTTTTATACCCAAATGGAATTTATTGAGCTCAGGTAGACTGAATAAGTGCTTATTCAGCATTTTAGTTTTTGAATAAAATTGAGAAGATTATTTTTAGAAAACTGGAATACTTTATTGTCACCAATATGTTGTATGCTAAACATAAAGATGAAGAGATATACAGGGAGCTGGAAAATGCCAGTTAACTTAAGAGGACTATAAAATTTCAAGTTCTAGGAGGCTTGTCATCTCTGTTCTAGAAAAACAGAGAAACAGATGACAGCAACAACATAACAGACTCTGAAGTGCAAGAAATGACTACCACACATGTTCGTTCCAAAAGACACTCAAAACATAATTTAAGCATATTTTTCAGTGGGAAAGCCAAAAAAATATATGTTAAGTATTTTAGAAGGTATACCCAGGAACAAATGCTGTAAGTGAAGAGATACAGTTGATGTAAAAACCCAGTAGCTAACAGAGTGAGAGAAACACTGTGACAACATCAGTCAGTGCACAAGAATGTTAGTATTTGGAGCCAGTGGAAATCTCCTGTTTCTCTTGGGTAGTTTAGATTTTCTTTATTTCTCTGTTTGTCTGTCCCCATTAATTGATTTAAAAGTTAAGGATATCAGGTTTTCAGTAAAGACATCAATCAGCCTTCCATTTCTGTTCCTAACTGTACACAACAATCCCTTGGTCATAGTGACCCTTCACCAAGTTTCTTAGTCTTTAGATCTTTACCAGAAAAGAAAGACTGCCTTCCTTTACTCCCTTTAGTGGGGGGCAGCTGGTGAATTTGAACTGCTGATATTTTAGTTAGGAGTACAATATGTAACACACTGTACTACCAGAGGCGCTTACTGCTAACCACCTCTCTGTCTTGGTGGTCGAATCAGAAGCTGAACCTCCATTCGTTTTTTTGGTTTGTTTTTTGAGACTATCAGCTGCATAGGAAGCAATGACTATATTTCTTCCTAAGGCTCACAGGTGGGTCCAAACTGCTAGAAAGATGTGGACTTGGAGCTAGCAATGCAGTTCTCTAGGGACTCTGATGCTAGAGCTCCCTGTTGCTAACCATGTTGTAATTATTATGTGCTGTTGAGCCAACCATCTCAGAGCTGGCTCCACTGGGTCCTCCAGTGAAAGCTGTAGCTCAGCCCCTCCAGTGAAAGCTGTGAGTTGCTTGGGAGATTACCCATCTTCCTCTCTCAGAGCAGCTTGTGGATTTGAACTGCCTCCCTTTGGGTGGGCTACATGACTCTATCCCTAGGCCACTAAAGCACCCTAAAGCTCTGTAATGTACATTTTTGTTGACACTACTTTTTTGTTCATCAAATTTTGTGAATTCACCCTTGTACTCCATCCTTGCTAAATCTGTTGCTCACACGCTCATCTGCCCCCCAGACATTGCCTCTTTGAGGCCTTATTGAAGAGCCACCTTCCCTAGGGCTCTGAGACACGGAAGTAGAGCAGATGACAGTTGCGTTTGTTGCTTCTTTGCTCAGTCATCCCACATAATGTCATCTCTCCCTTTCTTTGGTAACTCAAGGAAAACAAACTAACACAAAAGGTTCTTTTTAAAAAAAAATTTATTATTAATGTCAATGAAAATTTACAGAGACTTTGGATTTCCATTCATTGAGGCACTCATAAACTTTGCAAATCAATTTTTGAGGTGAGCTTGATTTCCTTGCCTCTTAAGGAAGAGATAACCTTAAAATGCCATGTTTAATACAAAATCTGTGTTTCATTCTATTAGTGAGGACAGTCTCCCTGAACTCTTAGCTCCTTCTTTATTTAAATACTCATTTTAGTGCCTGAAAAGTGGGAGGCTAGGTTGATTCCCATCCTTGGGAAGGTTGATCCCAAACACTGGTGGGTCTTTCAAATTGGAATGTGAAAATTTATGTTCTTTTTTGGTTTTAATTTTGAGTCATAGTCAAAATTCTGGACCGTTCACTTTAATCCCTACAAAACTATTTTAGTAGCCTAAATTCTGACCCAAAACATCAGTGTACTTTTTTCAAGAAGTCAATTTAAATTTCAAGCATCAGCTTGAAATAATTAAGAGTCCTTATCTTGAGTATGTAGTCTAAACATTTTAGGTTGGCCTTAAGAACAGTCTTATTGAGGTGTGTGTCCCAATTAGAGCATGTACACTTTAGGATGATATCATGGTAGTGAACACCTAATTCTTACGTGGAATCCAATAGAAAGATTAAGAATTTTATCAAAAACTTCACTAAAGGACTAGTAGACTTTTATAGAAGTGAGAGTGTTCTGTGGTTTTTAGTAGTGTTTTATGAGGCAAAACAGAAAAACACATAAAATCTTGTTGTTGTTAGGTAACCTCAAGTTGACTGTGACTCATAACTACCCAGTATAAACCTTTTCCTATCCTAGACCATTTTCACCGTCTCAGATATGCTAGAGCCAGTTGTTAAAAATCACAGGGTCTCATCCTCCTTCTTTCCAAGCCTGATGTACTTTTCCAAGGTCTGGTCCCTCACGACAAAGGATAAGACAAAATTTTACCATTCCCGT